AAATTTGTAAAAATCAACGAGTAATTAGGGACTCTTACTAAATAATCAAGAGCCTTCATTTCTTCTTTATTGTGCCAAGACCTCCACACTTGTCTCTTTCGTCCTGCCTTTGAATGTTTATTCATCTGCGCTCGTCTGTTCATGTTGTAGCGACGTTATTGAAAACATTCCACACGTTGGCATGCCCAACAAGTGATTGTTTTAGCTTTAAAACGTCAAAATAAATTCATGTTAAATAAATTTAGTTAATTTTATTTTTTAATATTCGTTTTTTCAGTTCGCCGCAGAATTCTTGCCGTAGGATAGTTTCAAATTTGTGGGCTTGTAGAAAAGATAAAAAAATTTGTTGAAAAATTACATCAATATTTTAGATGAATCCGAGAGTTAGGTACACCAGGAGAAACAAATTTGGAGAAGTTTCAAACTTAAATCTTGCTAAATGGCCGCAATATTTTTCGTTATAGTTCATAAGAGCAGAGCTGACAGAAAATTATTTGTAGACAGATTAACAAAATCATTTTAAAGTGTCCATTCGCTCGTTTAAAAAAACTTTTGCATTGTCAAAAAATTGATCAAGTTAAAAATTCTTTTTTTACACCTTGAAAATATTTTCAGAAGTAGTTAAAAATTAGAAAATTCTAAACGTTCCATCAAATAAAATAACAAAACTCCACCATAAACTTAAAGAGGTGAAAAATAACTTCCAGTTTGCAAACTTAAAAATCAAATGCTTGCTACTTCCCAACTTTTGAATCTGGAATTTTGTTATTTATACATACAACTCGCCAATATCAATAGCACAGGCGCGTTAAACATTTGAAGACGTCATCAACATTATCCTCGGTGTAAAGTGTGTATATGCTTTCATAACAACGTCAAATTAAAAATTATTCAATGGCACAACTTCAGCAACAACATTAACATCAGCAGCAGCTACAAAAACGACAACAGCAGCAACAACACTAACAACACCAGCTGCCATGGCAACAAAACATACAAACATACAATGAGAGCATCAACAATATATAATATATAAATACAACACACACACACACACACACACACACACCACACACACACACATACACAAACAAAAAAACCCCCAAACACATAAACAAGAGCAAAAACAAGTAAGAAAGAGTAGCTTATTAATGTAAGCAGCATAAGGGCAATTAAGATGGTATTGCGATGTGAGTCACGTTGTATTGGCTTGTTTTTCATTGGTTGCTCGCAGATCTATAGATGGCTCTACATGCCTCTTCCCCATACTCGCAAGTATTAATATTATTGCAAGTTCCTTTCTGATTAATGACCGAGCGCGCGGTGATATGAAGATGATGAGGTGGGTGCTTGCCAGTGACGAATGTGGTCCTTGGTGATTGTGGTGATGTGAATTTGTGGTCGGTGATTATTGTTATGGAGAATGTGTGGTTGGCGATTAAAATTATGGTGAGTGTGTGGTTGGTGATCACGGTTGTGGTGAGTGTGATGATGACGGTGATAGTTAATTACTATGGTGACATTAATGGTGACAATAATGATTACAACGTTATTGATGTCATTATTTTTATTCTTGGTTATCACTTTCATCAACAACATCAGCTACTTGTCATCATCATCTCATCATAAACGCCTACCATATCATCACATCATCATCATATCATCATCATCATCATCATCATCTTGTTCACCACCACTGTAATTTTCATCATTATTACTATCATCACCTTTGTCAGTCACAAAATTATCATCATCAACAACAAAATTGTCAACAACATCAAAAAAAACGGCAACAACATCATCGTCAACAACGTCCTCATCATCATGAATAGCAACATCATCATGCTCATCATCATCATCATCATCAACGTCACCAACATAGCCATTAAAGCATGTTTGCCTTGCCTGTAGGAATTGAATGATTTGTAATCGTAAGGTTTCGATGCAACAAGAAGCCCTAATAAATTGCCTTTTTGAATGATTTAATTGGGTTTTAAGAAATATATGAATTGGATAAAATTAGAAATTTCTTACGTTAAATGTTACATTGCTTTTGACAAACATTCGTAAAACAAACATACATAAAAATATGTATGTTAATTATTTTTGTATTATTTCAACTGTTTAAAAGTAAACCAATGCAAAAAGATTCACTAATAAGATTCAGATACCAAGGCAGAAATATTTTACTATATCTATGTTTTAATTGGACAAACCGCTTTCGAACAAAACGGAAAACATTAAAAAATATCTCTGATGATATGATCAAGTAGGACCAATGACCATCTTCATTAATCAAAAGACTACGTGTTTAGGGGAACAATTTTTACATGCTTCCTTATATTTCGCTTTATTTGGTCATAAAGATAGTGACCAAAAGTTGGATTGCTCAGAATTACAAATAATACAAAATATTTGAATTAATTGCCAGTACAAAATGTTTTCTTGTTGAAATTATTTCACGGGGCAAAACCACCTACACCTCCATTGACGGATTTAGGGTAGGACGCCGGACCAGCGGCGTAATTTTGGCCTAACTATGAAAGAGTTGGCTAGTTTCTTGTTGGCCACCCGTAAAATTTTTTCAAAATTCCTCCCCTGAGCACGACGAAGACAGTCTAGACAACACGAATAGGAACATCATGACACATACGAAAGATACTCGGACATTATTTTTACAAAAAAAAATTTAAATATTCAAAAATATAAGTCACATTATTTTCCACGCATTTAAATAAAAACGATTATTGGGTCATTACAGTTAATGCAATGATATCAATGGGTTCAACTATTTTATTAAAGAGAATTGCGATAACTTTGGAAGCTATTACAATCACACCGGCGTTTAATAACAACTGCGATGACAAATGCTTTGATGAGTGAGCTGATAATTTTGTGGCAACATTGCCAATGACGGCAGAAATGATGATGGAGTAGCTCGAATCAGAGGAACGTTTAAATGAAATCAACTCAATATCTATCACCATTGCAGAGGTAGCAGTTTCATATGACGGACATCAATCAAATCACTACTCTGTACGTTAAATCATATACTTTCGTCGTAATAACGCACAAAGATGTGCAAATTACTGATGGATTATCACCTAATTATGTTTTGTGTTATCCATTACAAGATGTAAATGTTACATTGTGTATATATATATATATATATATATATATATATATATTTATATATATATATATATATATATATGAATTTTAGAATTGATCATTTCAAATTATAATATGAAAAATAGAAATAGAAAAAAACATTCGGATCTAAACATATTTACGCTTCAAAACGCACATCGAAACATAGAAACAAAAATACACACAAAAACACACACAACAACCCACGCTTACACACACTCACACAATACACACACAGCAGCTCAGACGCACAACACAGAAAGCCTTGGTAGACACGCACACAAAAGAACATTTTTGGATTTTCATAGCTCCATTAACACTTTCCTGATCAAATTTATCTTCATCTTCAATGTCATATTCTTATATAATCTACTTTTATTTATAGATACATGAAACTTACGAACGTCTTATCTACGTGTATTATATATAATATATATATATATATATATATATATATATATATATATACATAAATACTATATATATATTATATACATATATTTATAATATATATATAATATATATATATAATATATTTGTGTGTTTGTATATTTATATTTGTATGTGTTTGTGTGTGTTTGTATAGGTATATATATATATAACATAACATAAAAAAATGTTTTCCAGTGCAGATCTTCAGTGTCCCATCAATGACACTGTTCTTTTCTTTAATTCATAAATTTTTTGAAAAATCTGATTATGGTTGTTTTAAACTTATCAGAAAATGAGTCGTCTTTTGATTTTAGATATTTCTATTAAACTTTTCGTTTTTGTTTCATAAATAATAATTTGAGTTTTTTTTGTCTGAAAAGTTCAATTTTTGAACCCTAGAATTTAAAGCAAAATTAATTTCAATTTATATTTACATCATTATAAACATCTTCTTATCTCTCCCTTTCAAAAAAAATTTCGCACATGCCGCTTGTGGTGCTTTTGCTTTATCAAGATTTTCTTTTCTTTCATTTTACCAGACTTGCATAATTTTTGGTATATTTTTAACATCATAATCCAAAGATTCAACATTATTTTTAAAAACAATATTTTCATTGCAGTTAGCTGCTGCTACTCATTGTTATTTATCGTTATACATAGTTGTCCATTGTTATCTATGCTTTTGAGAGTAGTCTAGGAGTTCCTGTCGATTAGCTAAAGCTAACCGAAATTAATTCATTTTCTAGTTTAAAATTTTTATGTTTATAAATTCGTCAACAAGTTTTCTCACTGCAAGTTATTGTCTTCATTCATCCGAGCGCTCTATATTTAGTGAATGGAACAACTTTGCATTGCGGTATTAAGTGATTTACCTTTTCGGACATGATAACTTGTGATATATTTCAGTTTTGATGCAAAATATTTTTTCACTGCTGCCCTTTTTTTTGAAATTCAGCATCATAACTTAAATTTTTGCATTAATTATGTTTGCACTGTTGTAGTTGGAGTAATTTTAAAATTTTGCAATTAGTGCCATGACTAATTTATTTATGATTAGTAGTGGCAGGGGTGGTATTCGCTTCTTAGCAATTTTCGTAGGAGGCTGAACAGGTCTTCTCAAAAAAGTGTCTCCGCCAGTCCTTTGTTGAATATCCATTGAAGAAGCCTCAAGAAGCTCAACTATCAGCGAGTTCCAGACTGTTGGGACGACACTGCGAAACATTTCTCTAATCGCTGTTCGCACTCTTGAAGCTATTGTAACATCATTTCATTCTCCTGATCAAAGATGACCCTGGGATTTCTTAGTGAGCGAGCAAATGCCGGTTCATTATTCATCAGCCACCACTGTTACCAGCAACAGTTTTCATTATTTATTACCCATCACAGCTACCGACAACAAAAAGCATGGCCGACGAGAACTAAACCATTTTGTTATCAATAAAATCATTGTTTTCAAGCTGTTCGAAATCATAAAACATGAAAAATGCATTTCTACTTTGTAAGCATTTCTTTAAAATTCAAATTTTATAAATCAACAATTTTTTTTAGTATTTTATATGGTTAATAATAATTGAAATAAATTAGGAGCGAAATAATGATGGGAGGGCACTTAATGAAGATAGGCATAAATAGGCAGAGAAAGGAATATAACGTACGACGGTAAGGTACATCGGCAGTGCATTAAATACAACATGTTCTTCTGCTTTATGTGGCTTGTATTACTTGCTACGCTCTCTCTCTCTCTCTCTCTCTCTCTTTTTCTCTCTCTCTCTCTTTTTTCTATTTGTTTTTTAGTTGATTTCGTTTGTTATAAATGAAATTTCAAATAATAAAAAAAATAATAATAAACTAACTCATGATCTGCGGCAATGCTGTTAAAATTATTCAGAAAGTATTCTTTCATGCATGTTAATATTGACCGCTAGATGTGATTGAGAAATTTTTTTACTAAATTAAAAAGTGCAGTTGTGCGAGTGTGCATTTGTAGATGTGAGTAAAAAAAGAATTCATAGACCGAGATATTTCTTTTAACCTATGAAGTGTTGGATTGGCTATGCACATGACATAGTGACGTCAAATGAAGTGAAAAGCAAGAACAGAAGAAAATGAAAGCAGAGCATCTTTAGCACGTGACCATTTTGATGACGTCAGTAATAGGGATCTGTTGCTAACGGTGATTTACGCACAGATCGCCGTTCAATTCGACGTTAGCTTTTATTATTGACTTTCTTTACCTGCGTCTCTATGTCTCTTTGTCTGTTCGTCTGTTTGTTTGTTTGTTTGTTAACAGGAGTATGTGTTTCTGTTAGCGTGCTTGTGAGTTTTCTCCTTTTATTTACTGTGTGTTAGTCTGCTTGTGAATCTTGCAGTTGGTGTGTTGATGCATGTGCGAGTTTGTGTTGTGTGTATACATGTGCGAGTTTGTGTTGTGTGGATGCATGTGTGAGTTTGTGTTGTGTGGATGCATGTGTGAGTTTGTGTTGTGTGGATGCATGTGTGAGTTTGTGTTGTGTGGATGCATGTGCGAGTTTGTGTTGTGTGGATGCATGTGTGAGTTTGTGTTGTGTGGATGCATGTGTGAGTTTGTGTTGTGTGGATGCATGTGTGAGTTTGTGTTGTGTGGATGCATGTGTGAGTTTGTGTTGTGTGGATGCATGTGTGAGTTTGTAGTGTGTGGATGCATGTGCGAGTTTGTGGTATGAGTTTGTGGCGCGTTGATGCAAATGTGCTGTGTGCATTTTAACAATTGTTTCAGTTTCATTATATAATTTTTATTAGTTTCATGCTTTGCGCACACGTCTGTGTTCAACATTGTTTCAGTTTCAGCTATTTTTGTTTCATCATCATAATGATGAATTTTAACATTTAATATTTTATTCGTAATAAATTTGATAATGATATTAATATTGCTAGTAAAAAATGAGCACCAAAAAATATCTAAACTGAAAGCATTAATTTGTTCTGATAAACATAAAATATGTGCTCTGTTTATATGAAAAAACATATTCGGTTAATTGATTTTTTTTAAAAAAAGAATACAAAAAGTTCTATTGAAAATTTTCTTTCATGTCTATTAGACACGAAAGCGAACAATCGCGTACATTGTGTGTACATAGCTTGTGTTACATTGTTTCCAGTAACCACGGATGAAACCATCTAGGTAGTTGGAAGCACATTTGAATGCACTTCCACACAGACACGACATGCATACATATATTTGCATACGTGACTACTGCACCATTCATCATACATACATACATACATACATACATACATACATACATACATACATACATACTTACATACATACATACATACATACATACATACATACATACATACATACATACATACATACATACATACATACATACATACATACATACATACATACATACATACATACATACATACATACATACATACATACATACATACATACATACCATACATACATACATACATACATACATACATACATACATACATACATACATACATACATACATACATACATACATACATACAT